GATAGTCAATCAACTCGATCCTTTTGTTTATTCATTTACAAATTAAATAAAAGGCAATAATATCTTTATAATTTATTTTTATTAATAACTCACACTCCTTATATCTTTTTCCAATGCATATATTAAAAGAATCTTTTCTGATAAAAAATAAATCAAGAAACAGAATGATGCAGATACGTTGAATAATCATTTAATGAGGGTCCAGGTATTCATTTTAATTTTGATGATCATTGGGCTGAAACTCCTTAATCATAAATTTTTTGTTCAACAAATAAATAATAATAATATGATTGGCTAATTTTGATGCCTTGAACAAATATTAGAGTTTATATTCGTAATACAAATTCTTATTCGAATTATTCGGTTCGAATTTTTTATTTTATTCGTTTTATTCAAATTCAAATTGTCAATCTTCAATTATTTGTTTTATTCACTTTATTCGAATTATCTGTTTGTTACTTTATTCATTTATTCATTTTATTCGTTTTATTCAAATTCAAATTGTCAATCTTCAGTTATTTGTTTTATTCACTTTATTCGAATTATTTGTTTATTACTTTATTCGTTTATTCGTTTTATTCTGCCTATCCAAATAAACTTTAAATGTAATTCAAATATTCAAATTATAATAATAAAGCAAATAATTCAAATAATAATAAACCTTATTCAATTAGAAATCCTTAATACTAATACTAATATGATTGGCTCGGTCTAAAGACTCAAATTTCAAAAAATTGTGATTTCGTGATTCGTTCAAAAATGCAATAAAATTTTTTAAAAAAAGGGCTTCACGTGATTTTGGTTAAAAAATTATTTTCCTTGCTGCCATATTTAGATATGATGGTCGAGTATTAGTCTAAATTTAGTAATGATGACACGACTGATAACCAGAGATTACTATTACAGATGACTTCATTGCCACTGCAATGTATATTATATTTTTATTTGTGGACCATTATTGAGTGATTATCTTGGCATGTAAGTGATAAATGTACATACTCCTCAAACTTTTAAATTCTCTTGATCAAATTGTATGGTGTGCAAAGTCTATAACCACCATTTTTGCACATGATTTTTGAAAGAATAGAAGTCCATTTCTGTTGATCCTTTTTAAAAAATAACTCTGTTATTGGATAGATTGAGACTCAAACTTTATCATATCAAGAGATTTTTTCAAAATATTGATTAGTTATCAAGTTCTATTCCTTTTTAGTACATGTATTTTACTATGTTTAAGATGATTGGGCGGTAACACATTTGTCTAAATTATCATTTCTAAATTTGGTGTAAAAAATCACTGCCTCAAAAATATTTAACTTCACTTTAATCAAAAATTTTTAATTGAAAAACTATTGAATCTTATGATCATAAAGTCGATTTTTACCCCCAAGCTCCATTGTGAACTTAGATTTATTGAATTAATTATTTTGGGGTACAGAAAAGCAATACACCCATGAAAACTGATTATACCTTTAAGTCATTAGAAACAACTGTTCCATTGGCATTAAATTTTGTTTCTCTCAA